AATCATACACTTCTACTGCTACTCTAAAAGGTAGGAGCAAATAGTTAAAGGTTCAGTGTGTATTCAGGTGATTCTACATCAGTGAAAACACGCTGACACAAACCTCCACACACTCCAAAAAGCTTGGAATGAATCTCAATGACAAGAAGTTTCGTCTTTGCTTTACCACACAGCATTCTGTGATGACAAGATATTTCAGAGTTATATATAAACACAAACACATATTCTACACATTGACTTACGGAAAGTAGATTAGTCCAAGTCTTTTCTCTGTCTTCATTTTGCGTTTAGTAAATTCCCAGTGTAATGTCCTGACAAATCTTTATTTGTATGTTTACATTTAACAACAGGCTGATTCTTGATAACTTACACTAAATGGTACATAAACCAATCAACTTATTGTTAAATGTAAACATACAAATAATAATGCGTCAGGATGTTACACTAGGAATTTACTAAAGGCAAAATGATTTTTGAAGACAGCCAATCTGCTTTCTACTTTTTGTTTTTTAATGTTTTGACGTGTATTTCTCTTATGAGTTCTGCCCTTACTTTATACACATGTATATTATTTTGCTACTGTTGGCCTGTTCCCCTTTAGGTAGAGTTGAAGTGGGTGGAGAAAATTGGTGTCATTGCACAGGAAAAAAGAAACTCTGAAAAGACTAAATGAAGACCCACATTAGAAAGCACAACACATCTTTGTTCTGATCCTCTTCAACGCGTCAATGATCTACCAATCTAAGAGCCGTAAACATGATGTCACTCAAACAAACCAATGATGTGCAGAGAAGGGTCCAAAGGTCCATTCTTTGGGAGGCTCCTTATCTGCCTTTTTTAATTCCAGACAAGGCAGACCCTGTTATTATGCAAATATGAGCCTTTTTAAAGGAAACGAAAAGCACCAGGTGCAAAATAAATGCAGGTGGTCGTGAAGGCAGATCCCTCTCATGTTGGTCTCAAGTTTCTAAGGACAGGAGCAGAAGTAAAGAACCACATTAGAGCTTTTGAAGAAGCACGTTTCTGCAGCTATGGCCAAGTGCCGCACAGATTGCATAGAGAGACACCTGCTGAACTTTTTTGAGAGGATCGGGCATTTCATCGGATCCCATCCCTGGTGGTTCCTGATCACCCCCATAGTTCTCTCTGCAGGTCTGGGGAGCGGGTTTCTCTTTCTCAGAGACAGGATTTCCAACAACATCGAAGAACAGTTCACACCTGTTGACGGACAAGCCAAGAAGGAGAGGAAATACATCCAAACAACTTTTCCAGAACGCGACTCTATGTTTTCAAGCTTGAGGCAGAGCACAGACGGGAATTATGCAACTTTCATAGCTACAAGCGACGGGAATATCCTGACAGTGGAGTCACTGCAGGAAATCCTACAGTTGGACTTTAAAATCAAGAGTATGGTGGTGCAGTTTGACAACCAGTCACTTGAATATGTGGATGTTTGTGCTGTCTGGATGGGATCCTGCACCCCTAATTCTATTCTAGATATCATTGACTACACTGCCACCAATATAGAAGCTGCCAATTTGACATATCCATGGTATCACTATGATTTTAGGATTATTCCTCTATATCTAAGTCTGGGGAGTGTGAAATTGTACGAGGGTACTCCACTTGTTGAAAATGCTCAAGCCATTCAGCTTTTTTACTATTTACGAGAGGAACACAAATCAAAAACAGATCTGTGGCTGCAAAGTTTCATAAATTTGGTTGCAATTGAACCAACGACTTCTATTCAGGTAAGTAGATTTTTAACATGGCAGTCGTCTTAATGATATGCTTTAAATAAAAATGATATATGTTGAAAGGTATTTAAAATCTTTCCAGTTGTCATACTTCACCTCGATGTCAAGACAGTGGGAATTTGACAGATCTCCATCTTCCGTCATCTACCTATTCTCCATCACGTACACCATCGTCATCACCTTTTCAATCCTATCATGTTGGAGGTTGGTAAAACACCAGTTTGTTGGGGAATTTACAAGTGTGAACAATTCCACAGTCAACTAATTTCAGCCAGATAGAGAAAAAGTTTTAAAGAGCATATGTTTTGTACTGAGTGACTGTCTGCTTGTCATCCTGGATTCCTTTAGGATGGATAATGTGCGGACAAAAGTGTGGGTTGCATTATGTGGGGTGATCTCCACTGGTCTGGCTGTGCTGAGTGGTTTTGGAACGCTGTTGTTGCTCGGACAACCTTTTGTGATGACAGCAGCCTCCTGTCCTTTCCTGATATTAGGTAGGTTGTGCTCTCGAAAGGACTCAAAGCAATATTACTTCTAAGTAAAGTAAAAAAATTAATTCATAGATTTATTGACATGGTCTTCATTTTATGTCATTTTTAATTAATACCAGAAATTTGTGAAATGCTTTGTTATAAGATTAGTTACTTTTAGTGTGCAGTATTTAGAAATGTCTAGTCACAGTAATCCATGCTTTAAAATCTTTTGATTATTTCACACACCTGGGTCTAAATTAGAAATGGAGATTTCACAGGGAGAAAAAAAAAACATTTGGCTCCTGTGGACCAAAACTTAATGTTTACCGTGGAAGACTATACAACTCAAGCAAATTCCATGAGTCAGGAAACTTATAATGATAGTGGTCAGAATTGAATGGGTTCCAGTGGCTGCCTGTAACAGCAGTAATTAGACTGATATGAAATGTTTAAAGTCCAGTCTGCTGTGACTGACGAGCTGGCCCCACTCAGGAAATGTTGGCCTCTGGCTGTCATATGATATCATGATGATGAGGACGTATCAGTCAAACTACTGTGTTTCAGGAACTTAAGAAGCAGTGTTTCCTGTGGAGAGCTTCTATCCTTACCAAAGACTTTGGGCTTTTTTACTTTCCAAACCTTTTACATAGGTCTGCACAAAACAGGAAAATATATCTCCTTGAAGGAAAGTTAGAAATATTCCTGTAACTGCCCCTTTAACCAGATCTGCAGCCAGAATTTGAAGTGTTCTTCCTGTCCTTCCTCACCCCTCCACCAACACTGGTGCGAATTGGTCAAGAATGTTTTGCGTAATCTTGCTGACAAACCAAAAAATCAGAAGTCATATATTCCATTTGAATAATGCCGTCTCTGCTTTTTAAAGGCATTGGAATTGATGATATGTTCATCATGATTTCCTGCTGGCAGAGGACCCGCGTTCAGGACAATGTCCCCGACCGGCTGGCCAACACCTTCCGGGAGGCTGCCGTCTCCATCACCATCACCACGCTGACCGATGCCCTGGCTCTTTTCCTGGGCTGCATCTCTCCCTTTGGCTCGGTCCAGTCCTTCTGCCTCTATGCTGGGACTTCTGTTTGTTTCTGCTATTTGTACAACATCACTTTCCTGGGGGCTTGTATGGCTTTGAATGGTCAGAGGGAGGGGGAGAACAAGCACTGGTTCACCTGTGCCAATGTCCCAGAAGATGTACCTGAAGGGAATTCAAAAGCCTTCAATATCTGCTGTGCTGGAGGGAGCTACGATCAAAACACTGACATGGAGAAAAGTGAGGCCATGAGCAACATTTTTGAGAAATTCTATGGCCCATTTCTAACCAACCCACTGACTAAAGCACATGTATATGTCATATATGTAGCCTATCTGGCTATTAGTATCTATGGCTGTTTTAACTTACAGGAGGGACTGGATATCAGGAATCTGGCTTTGGATGACTCCTACATTATTGATTACTACAATAATGAAAGGCTGCATTTCTCTGAATATTACTACAATGCAATGGTGGTAATAAAACAACCCTTTGCATACTGGGATGAGGAAGAACAGAAGATTTTGAACACATGCATTGCAAATTTTGAAGGTTTGAACTATGTCAATAGTACATTTGCTTGGTTTCTATATTATCAACAGTTTGCAAACGCAATCAATCTCAACATAAGCTCTCAAAAGGCTTTCCAAACAAATCTGCCCCGTTTCTTACAATTCAGCCCAATCTTTGGAGAAGACATCAACATGACAGCAGACGGAGAGATTCAGGCCTCTCGCTTTTTCATTCAGACGCGAAACAGAAATACAAAGGAAGACACTATGACCGGCCTCAGGACAACAGCAGAGAATTGCCCAATAGATCTCATGGTCTACCACCCTGCTTTCATCTACTTTGACCAGTACACTGTCATCGTGGACAACACCACTCAAACCCTCCTGCTGGCTGTGGTTGTGATGCTCATCATCTCACTCGTCCTGATACCCAGTCCTATATGCTCACTTTGGGTGGCGTTTGCCATTGGCTCCGTCATCGTTGGCGTGACAGGATTTATGGCGCTGTGGGGCGTGAGCCTGGACTCCATTTCCATGATCAACCTCATCATGAGCATTGGGTTCTCTGTGGATTTCTCAGCACATATTTCTTACTCCTTCGTCTCCAGTTCCAAGCGTGATGCCAATGAGAGAGCTACGGATGCCTTGGCCCAATTAGGGTATCCTATCCTCCAAGGAGCAGTGTCCACTGTTTTAGGAGTGTTGACTCTGTCCTTTTCTGGGAGTTACATCTTCAGGACGTTCTTCAAAGTTATGTTTCTTGTGATTACATTTGGGCTGATCCATGGCTTAGTGTTCATCCCAGTATTCCTGACACTGTTTGGAGCATGTGAGTGTTGTTGAACTGAGGAAATTCAAATTCTTACAGTAAGAAAAGATTCGACAGCAATATAATTTCTGTACATATGAGGGTAATATTGTAATTTCTTTGGGCTTCTTTTTATTTATTTCAGCTGCACAAACATTCATGTTGAGACACTTTCGTCCATCAAGAGTAGAGAGCCATTTGGAGCAGTGTGCACCGCGTAAAAGCTTTACCATACAC